CTCAGACGGAGGTGAATCAGGGGAAGAGAGCAATAGACAAGGACCCTTTGGTGATTTTGAAGGCCCAGGCTGGAGAAGGCCTGATGTTGAAGGGCCAGACTGGAGGGGGCCTGATGTTAGAGGCCCAGACTGGAGAAGGCCTGATGTTGAAGGGCCAGACTGGAGAAGGCCTGATGTTGAAGGGCCAGACTGGAGGGGGCCTGATGTTAGAGGCCCAGGGTGGAGGGGGCCTGATGTTGAAGGGTCAGACTGGAGAGGGCCTGATGTTGGAGGCCTGAACTTTGAAGGCAAAGGCCTGGTTAATGCACATGCATTTATACGTCCAAGGATCCCTTCCAATGTTTCAGGCCCCTCAGGCCAAAACTTTCTCTTCTTCTGTAGTGAGAGGAGGAACTGAATTGATACCCCCACCAGTCTTGTTTGCTTCCCTCTTACATGCCGCAGCCCTCCGTTTTGTCACACTTGCGAAGTCCCCTCCACTTATTCCTGACTTCTTCTGGGCTTCGTTCGTACCCATAGCCAGCAGCATTTATTTTTTGAGTGATTTCTGCCCAGATTTTCTTTTTGTCAGCATTTGTAATGCTGTTTTTCAGCTTTGAAAATAGCTGGATTTTATTATTTTCCACCTCCTCCAAAAGAACTGCAATTTCATGCTTTGAAAATTGGGGTTTTCGTGTCATTTTCATTAACACATGGCTGAATGACAAGGGGACTTAAATAGGAAAAATTATTGAGCAAAATAAGCAACAGGTGTCCACAACAGTACATCACAGTTTTTTAAAAACCCATCTTTTTTCAATTGTGCTTATGTAGCCTATCAATATTAAATAAGAAATGGTATTTATATGAAATTGTGAAATTATAGACATTGAGATCAGAAAAGAACACATTTTTAACTCTGTGTGTGTATATGTATATAATTTATTGTGGAACAAATGAATGTTGCGTTATTACTCCACTCCTACGTAACGTAATTTCAAAAGCATAATTCGTGTCGAAGAAAAGAGAAAATAAAACCAAATTACTGTAGGTGGCGGTATGTGCTCATGGCACCAGTCGGCTATTAGATCGAAGAAGAAGAAGAAAAACGTCATAACAACAGCTCAAACCAACGTGGTTTAAACGATGGATCTGCGACACAGGTACCATGGATTCGGGAAACAGTCGTGACTAGCTAGTTAGTTTCCACAACGATGCATTGTATTGTGGTGGTTAATCAGCGAGTTACGTCGTTGTACGGGAAACGCATGTATATATGTATATATATATATATATATGTATATATTTATGTGTGTGTATATATATATATATATATATATATTCTTTTGTGTTTTACAGGTTTGAAATGGCATTAGGTTGAATAAATGATGACAGAATTTTCAAAATTTGGGTGAACAATCCCTTCAATGTCTAGCCGCATGTAGCGAAGAACAAATAAATTCCATGTTGTGTCTTTAATAAAAGTGGAGGCCACTTTTTACAAAAACGATCAGTATAGATCACTGCACCGGCCTCAAGTGGTCGTCATGGCAAGTCAAAAGCAAATCACTTTGTCACAATCTCTCCAAAACCAACAAAGGGATTTAAAGAACATGAGTTTCAATATATATGTACACTTCAGTATGATTTTTGCAGAATGTTGGGATGAGGGGAGAGTGTTGGCAAAATGAATCCTAAAAGAAAAGGCAAAGGAATTGATTTAATTAATGCGGCCTCATGTCCTACGGCCATGTGTAATCCGTAGAGAATTCCTGAGTGTGAGCTCTAGGAGACAAAAAGACATCTACCAGAGGACTCCTCAAGTGGCCTGTAATGAGAACCTCCCTGTAATCCCATAATTCCTTGTTTAATTAAAAGACAGAGCTGGCCTGGAGTCAAAGCCCCTTTGATGGCTCTTTCATTGTTGTGCTTTTGTTTGGAGGCTATTTTTGGGACGTTCTGTCCAACCGTCCAACAAACAAATAGAGACGTGCAAACATATTCATTCTGTAATCTGGTGTTGCTGTTGGTTAGCTTTTGTTGTTGTGACCAAACCAGTGTCAGGTGACAGTGGCAAAGTAAAAACATGACATTTTCACATTTAAAAAAATAAATAAATTTAGAACCTTCCAACAAATAAAATCATTTGAACTCGAACTTGGGGAAAGAAGCCAAATGTTAAGAGTTTGTATACGCATTTCTGTTTCTCAAACTTGCCTCATTGCTGTCCCCTATGGTGTGGAATGGGAGTGAACAGATCTGCCGTTGTTGACAAGATTTAATGTCATTGAATTACATCTCAAATCCATCTTGTGTTTCACCTGGCCTGAAAAACCAGTTCTCACTGTACTGTACTAGCAAAAAGCGGATGCTTAGGGTGTAGAATGTATGTTCTGAAGCTCACTGTTCAATTGTATGTATATAGGGCTGGGCATTAATACATATTTCCTGTTTCAATTCCATTTTGATTCGATTCCAGATTCATTTGATTGTATTTCAGTTAAAATGCCCACTTTGCTTATAAATAAAGAAATTCTCTCTCTAAAACTATAGGTTCCGGGGGGGGGGGCGGGGTGGCAATGCCATAGAACAGTCATTTTGGGTTCCTCAAAGTACCTTTCCGTGAACAGCCTTTAACAGAACCATTTTTTCTTAGTGAAAAGAAAATTTGAATCTAAAAATCCATTTCCCTCTTTTGTGCAATGGAAAGGTTCTATGGATCTTAAATGTCCTTCATGGAACCATCAATGCCAATAAAGAATCTTTGTTTTATAAGTGCAGAGTAAATGAAAGATCTTGAGATTTTATAATATATATCAGGATCTTTTAAATGAAGATGGCGATTATGTGGGGGGAAAAAAACAAACAGTTTTTACCCAGCCTTAACATATAAGGAAAGGCAAAGCACACCCCACTCGGCTCCTCTATAATCAGCCCTATTCAGAGGGGCCAGTCTTGGAAGCCCACACCAGTATTAGCCAATAAGAAGCCAGGGTTCAGCCATCACTAATGTAGAATTGCTTCAATTTAGCGGGAAGTCGTGGCCTGGATTAAGGCCAGTGTCTGCAGAGCTAGGCCCCCAATGCTGCTGAAGGGATTTTCAAGGATCAGCTCAGTGCCAGCCAAACTGGAAATAAGTAAGGAATCAACTCAAATGAAATGATAAAAATGGGCTGTAAGATCTTCCCTGTCATATGTGGAAATGTGAGTAAAGAATGGGACATAGGTAGATCTTTTTGAATCTCTATTGCTAGTGAGTTTTTTTTTTTGCCAGCATACTTGTCAATCTTTCATGTTCACACTCATTAATATGAATTCTTGCTACAATTATTTGCAAAGTTATCAGCATCGTGCATACACACCTGTATAAAGGTCACTGTTCCGCACAGCACGGATAAGCTAATGTGTCATTTTCGTTTCATCACTAAGCTACTTGGTTTGAATTGCCACCCACACACCTCTGGTTTGCATCAGATCAGATTTGGGCTCATTGTTTCTCATCTTTTCTTCAGCTAACCACTAAACAGAAATGCTGGAGTTGACATGGCTGCATTTGACAGATAATCCACCGCTCTTATTTTGAAGACGGCAAGATCGCAAATGGCATTTAATGAAATAAACTTGAGTTATTTGCAAAGTGCCAGTTTTGTTTCATTTTAGCACCGGTACGAGGATCGCTAAGGCGGTCTGCGGAGATTAACTCCCCCCACTTTTCCCTCTATGGCCTCGGGGTGAGCTGGGATTCGCACTGATGTGGGATTGTACAAGAGCTTCGCTTATATAAATAGCTATGCATTGAAATAATATTCGCTTGAAAGCCACATGAATCCGTCTCACCGTGCTGCAATCCATCCGTGTTTTGGGTCCACATTCACTTACACATCATATCACTATGATGACAGCATTCATAACCAGAGAGCTTTCTGGTAAGTGCGTGACTTTTTTAGCGCTATGCACAACACACTCAGCTCTTTCGTTATCTATCCTCTATGACAGGTCGAATAGATGAAGGCTCGGACGTGGAGTCTGAACCGGACCTGCCCTTGAAGAGGAAGCAGAGGCGCAGTCGGACCACCTTCACAGCCGAGCAGCTGGAAGAGCTGGAGAAGGCCTTTGAAAGGACACACTACCCAGACATCTACACCAGAGAGGAACTAGCCCAGAGAACCAAGCTCACCGAGGCCAGAGTACAGGTATGGCACTGCCAAATACTAAAGCAGTTGCTAGATATACACATGGTTTGACTGAGATGCAGATCAAAATGTGTTTAATTGAATCTTCATCATTCTGTATATAAAACTTAAAGGGATAGTTCACCTAAAAATGAAAATTGTCATCTTGAACACACATACTGTAAAACTGAAGTCAAATGGGTCCGATGTTGTTTGAAACCTGTTTAGTTTTTAAGTATCTTCTTTTGAAGAAAGTAAGTCATACAGGTTTGGAATGACATGAGGGTGAGTAAATGATGACAGAAATTTCATTTTTTGGGTGAACTATCCCTTTAATTGTGCTCATCTATGAAGGTTACTTATAAAAGGATGGTACCCGTAAAACTGATGCTCTCAGTTGGCGATGTAGATGGCACAATGAGAGCTCAGTAAGAGTTCAGCTATGTGCTTCGAGGTCTATAGAGCTCTAAAGTGTCACTAGATCTGCTGGACTGAGGTCCTCTGATTGATGATGCGTGTAACAATGCAACTGCTCGTCTCAAAGAAAGTGCTTGAAAAACACAGCAGGCCTCTTCCTGTCAGCCGTATCGGAGAAACACGATCAGGTGGCTAACATGGCACTACTTCTGTCAAAATTGGCTTGAAATTAAAGCTCACCCTATCTATTTTCTAAATGCATGTTATTGCGATCTTATATTGTGAACGATTTATCCATGCATGTTTCATTTACTTCTTTTTTTTACTTTAATCAAAATGTCAATAGTCATCTTTCAGAGAAATGACAGACAATATAACAAATGCTGTACGTTTATATTCACAGTTTTAATCGAGCAACTCATAATCGAGTTACATTCTTCTCTGTCAAAAGATACATGATTCAATGCATAACTGAATATTTGAAGGTTTAAAAACCTTTTTGTCACTTCTGACTTTTGTAGCATTCACACAACACTGAGACTTGTAGTTGCAGAAACCCCACTGGTACGATTTCATTTGGACCAATGCGTTTACATGATGAATTGCTTGTTATAGTCTGACTGAATTTGAACTTTAAAAGTGCATGTAAATGTTGCAGAGCATTCACAGGACTTTGGCTTCGCCCACCACTGGTCCTGACAGCTTGTCAACCATGTGGATAGTTGAAACTATGAGAGGGGGAAAATACAGTAGAGTTATGGCAGCAGCTGTTGGGAGCAAAGGGAGGGGGATAAAAAGAACAAAAGTGCATTCCTGATGGATTTCTCACTTCAGCTTTTGGCTGGGATCTTTTCTTCCCACCACTTTCAAGCCCACCACTGCTTCTTGTCAAATTTGCTGCATATCAGAGAACATCCCACACACTCTCTTGGGAACCCCTCTCCACCAGTTACATTAATCAATCAAGAGCTTGTAAAAAAATATGACCGCTCACCGTGGCCCTGCTGCCTGCTTCACCTCTGAAATGGAATGGGCTTGTGGTCTTCATATGCTAATGCTCTGGATGTTACCTTAATGTAGTAATGTGTAGTGAAATGCCATGTAAGGTCAATCTGTCTTTGTTATTCGATTTTGTAATAAAAGATTATTTGTTTTAATAAGTAAACTCTGTATGTCAGATGTACACAAGCTGATTAAATGATGTCACTGCATAACTGAAATGCAGCTGTCTCTTTCTTTTTCCTCTCAGCCACTTTTTAGTTGGCTAAATTGGCTTCACCACCTTTTGACTTGCCAAATGTCTTACTCTTTCTGTGATTCGACTAACCGCGGCTTGTGTACTGCATCATCACTGTGTCTGTCACGTGACTCTGTTGCCCTTTCGGGCTTGAACTGATGGTAAAACTAACGACATTATTAACTGCCTTTTTTTACTTAGCAGCATTCATGGCTTTTCTTTCAAATCAGAATTTGTATATTACAAATATTGTTGGCTCTTTGACAAATTGCTTTGGATAAAAGCGTCTGCTAAATGCAGAAATGTAAATCAGTCAAACGTTTGTGCCCAGACAAAATGAAAATGACTCCATTTTGGAAAAAGCTGACCCATAGTGGCCTCGTGGCAGGATTTTTAGCAAAGAGAAGATCTCTCGCTGGCAGTGTCAGAGATCCTGCTGATTTTTTTCTGCCATGTCAGTGATTTGGCTCTCCCTGAAAGGAGCCCCATGGGACATTTGGCCCTTTTGTACATTTATGGTGACTGATGCTAATTAGACAAGTGAATAAACATTACATCACTTCTGACCTGCGTATGTCAGACCTGAATTAGATTTTTAAAAACTGATAATTCAATCATGAATATAAATTCAAATGTTCTTTTGCTGTCAAACATTTGGCGCCATGTTGGATGGAAAGTCCCGATCACTCAAAGATCATATTGAAACCACCACATCCTCAATATCTTGGCCCAACAGCTCATGCTTTGTTTTCTCAACCCTGTCACAGCCCAGCAGTTGGTTCTTGAGAGGCCAAGCAGATGATGTGTGAGGATCTCTGGCTCGAGATAGCTCACATGGAGATGCCAGGGCTCTGGGATCATTGCTTTTGTGGAGGGGAAGGTGTCTGACCCTGTTGGCTTTTGGCAGACCCCACGGCCTCAGTGTCAACCCACTTGAGCGCAGCTGCGCTGACACAGTATCCAGATGTCTGAGAGAGAGAGAAACTGGGAGAGAGGGAGGGGAATGTTCCTGCTGCCAAAGAGGGGAAGTCAGACATGGATCAGTGAGGATGTCAAAGGCTTTAATTTATGTGTTTGGTGCTTTTCTATTAGGTGTCATCAGTCTGTCACTGTGGTTATTCTTAGCCACAGACACTTTACTCATGCTTCTACTGTTTTACTGCTCCTTATGACAAATCAGAGGAAGTGATCCATATCTGACTAAGTGCTTCCAGGTCTGTCTGTCTGGTTCATTGCATTTTGTAAGGCCAGAGGGAGAAACAAAATGAATTAACGGAGATTTACAGGAAATTTCATAGGCAGTGGCAGTTAGGTCACTTCAAACTCTGTTAGACAAGAAATCTTCGTAATGTGTTCATGGATCAGGTTTGAGGTTGTAGTATGACCACTCTGAAATATGAGGAAGATAAACAGATGGAGGGGAACCTAGACACACTACATTATCACAATGAAACCTGCATGCCAGTATCTTTTAGATTATATTATGAATAATGAATTAAACAGATACTATGACCTAATTTTGACATACACTACCATTAAAAACTTTAGGACTGGTAAGATGTAAAATGTTTTTGAAAGTCGTTTATGCTCCTCCAGGCTGCGGTTTAAAAAAAATAAAAATAAAAAATACATTAAAAAATTCATTACTCCAGTCTTCAGTGTAACTTGATTCTTCAGAAATCATTCTAACATGCTGATTTGCTGCTCAAGAAACATTTCTTATTATTATCAGTGTTGAAAACAGTTGTGCTGCTCAATAGTGGGAACTGATACTTTTTGATGAATAGAAAGGTTTATAAGAACAGCATATGTTTATAAATCTTTTGTAACATTAACCTTAATCAGTTGAATGCATCCTTGCTGAGTAAAAGTAATTTCGGTAACACTTTACTTAAAGCCTTTATGTATAATGCATTATAAAAGTAGTTTTAATGCATTAATTATGCTTTGTAATGCACCTTATAATGCATCTTACAATCTCATGAATAATGGTAACAGCAGGTAATATGTTAAAATACTTATCAATTCATTATTATGCAATGCATTTTAAATTTGCTTATAATTATTTCCGACAAGCTATAATGCATAGAGTGAGGAGACTTAGTCCTACCACATGTTACGTACAAGCAGGTTTGAAGATGTGTCCACTTCCCCTCTCTATTCTGGCACCCTTTGATCCAATCTGGAAACAAGACTTCCAGGGCACAAATGTCAGCCCCCTGATGTGGAGTCATATCACATGAGTTGTGATTGATCCTTGCAAAATCTGGAGCCAATAATTCTGTACTTATGCTGCTGGCTCACATAAAAATGCAGGATTTCAATGAACAGATCAAACAAATATGTGAAAGTATTATATGTATGTTTATATGCATATATTTATGTTTATGTATAATGATGGTTAAAAAACTAGAAAGAGGATGCGCATGAACTTAACAGTGTTCTACAACTTCAACTCTCTCTTCTGCTGGAGAGATGCCTCATTTTAGAGAGTATTGCCACACTGTTTCCTTCAAGGCCCAGTCCAGCCAGCCTCGACCCTCCATCGTAACCCATCCTGTCCCACTGCCCATCCAGATTCCCACAACCCCTGTATGGAGCCACTGAGATGTCTGCCTTTTTTACGCCTCTCAGCCACTGTTATGTTCTTTTTTGCTGTGAAATTCAATCACGCTATCCAGGTTTTACTCCTCGTCTTCCTGTCTGCTCACCAACCGCCCTGCGCATGGCAAGCGGTAATCCTAGGAAGACACATAGCCATCGTCGTCCAAGAAAGACGGCGAAAAAGAAAGTGAGAGGAACTGATAGGATGGCCCGGATGATTGATATTGGACGAGAGTGGAATGTGAAATCGTGACACAGTCCACAATCAGATTTGTCTTCCATTTACCTCCCTTCCTTTTGTGTCTCCCGCTCCCCCTGTTCGCTTGGAGATTGAGAGTATATTGAATTGAATTTTTCTATTTCCATTCCCTCCGAACCGAATGCAATCAAACAACAGCTCCTTGAGCCACACTCCACCAAATCTCCTCTCTTAAATGTTTCGCCAAGAGACTCCGTTCACTTTTGAACTCTTTCAGAAATACGAAATGAGTCGGCCATCTCAGTTGGGCAGTGTGCTTTGTGTCTCAGCTCGAGCAGGGAAATGAGAAGAGTGGGGAATTAGAGGGAACAGCAGAGAGAAAATCCCTGCTCAAGGTGCCTTTGCCATCGGGTTCCAGAATGGTGCATTCAGAAGCCCCAGCTCGCAGCAAGCCTCTTAGGAGATCCATTGAGTGTGGGGTGGCAGGCACTCTAACCTCTAACACTGAGATACGCGCCTTCTAATGCCTTGTGCTACTCACCACTTCTCGTTAATACCAGAAACCATACTAAACTAAGACATGTAAAGTAATGGGGCTCGTGTCAGCGGGACTAGTGGTTTTATGGGAAAGGTCGTTGATGCACGGCATTGTTGAAAGAGCAGTGTGGGATAGCTAATGGGGGATGGTTGAGTACTGCTAACTTTTATTTGAATGAAACTGATTTTTACTGGCATGATTTATTAATTAACACTGAGAAAAGAAAGTTAAGTTCTTGAAGTTTAAAAAAATTCAGTTGTCTAACCTAGCGTTGTGGTAAGGATGGGTGTTGGGAATGTGCTTTTTCAAAGTAGTTGCTAACCGTGTGTGTAATTAGTCCCCTGGTGTGTTTAAAAGAGTAATTATATAGGTCTTATAGGTGTTTCCAGAGTCTTATAGGTGTTTCCTAGTTTTTGTTTGGATATGGGAATGGAACAGGAATTTTTTCAAGGAATGCCATAATTGTTGCTTTTGTCCTATGGGTGGGATTTTAATGATAATAAATTAATATTAATAAAAAACTATTTTATTTCATTTTTCCAATTACCATAAAGGCCACATATTTTTAAGAATAAATTGCATTTATCAAAAATATCTTGCTGCAGACTGCTCTCATTGGCTCACTTGAATTTGAGATTTTATTAAAATTTATCTTTTTATCTTGCTTTGTCACTTTGTGTGCAAAGATTGAAGGGGAGCCTGGGAGGATAAAAGAGAGAGGCAGAGAAAGAGTGTGTACTCATACAGTATGTCTACGCCAGCCCCTTGATCAATGCCCAGGCTGAAAGCGTCATTCTTGAGGAGCTGTTTAAAAATGGACGCCCTCTCTTTGTGGTCTGATTCATTGAAGGGCCATTGTCCCCCTCTTTCACTTCCACTCACAATGGTGGGGACCATTTGAAAAACAACAGTAGATTAACTGCACTGCCAGTGTATTAAAGTCTGAAGAATGGCCCCTCTGAGGCATAGATCAATGTCATTCACTCTTTTGCATACACAGGGGCAGCGCCTCGGCCCCAGAGAGGTGCAGTTACTGGCCGTGCTCCCCTTTCAATGAGACACATTAGAATGAAACTTTGAAAATGTGTCTTAATGTGACCTTTAATGAGGCCTTTCTTTCTTTCTTGCGTTCATGCTTTCTTTAAATAGAGGCTTTTTGTTCATTCAAAATATCACTGAAATGTTTGATATAAAAACACATTTTCTACATTAAAAGTCATCTATAGCACTAACTTTTAAACAAATTATTAAAGGGATAGATTATGGCAAATATTTAACCCTTTAAGGGTTATTTATCTGTTGAAGTGCACTTTGGTACATGTTGGAGTTAGTCGCATAAAAAATATTATGCATATAACCCGGGTACATCCCTCCTCTATTATTATGAGGTCTTTGTTTGTTTGTTTTTTCTGTAACACTTTAGTATAGGGACCATTTCTCACTACTAACAAGTTGCTTAATGGCATGCCTATTATTACAATATTGGCTGTTTATTAGTACTTCTAAAGCACATATTCTGCATGACCATATTCTACATCCCTAATCCTAACCAATACCTCAACTAAACAACTACCTTACTAACTATTAATAAGCAGCAAATTAGGAGTTTATTGAGGCAAAAGTCATAGTTAATGGTTTGTTAATAGCGAGAACCTTAAAATAAAGTGTGACCATTTTTCCCCTCAATTAGTGATAAGCTAATATAGTTTTTGTTAATATATTGAATTTATATTTTCTGGTTTCATTTTAAGTTAAAGTTTTAGTAATTTAGTAATATAGTTTTTAAGTTTTAGTTGATTTAGTTTGAGTTATTTTATAAATGTTGCTTTAGTTGAAAGTAACTTATTATAAAATAAAATACATGAAATATTTTATTATATTTTCTGTTTTAATTTATTTCAAGCAATGAACTTTTTTATGGTTTTAGTTTGGTTAACAATAATGATCCTGTTTCTTATTCAAACGGATTTCATAAAAATGACATTTATAATATCAACCATTTTTCATTAATTACTAGACATGAAATGAATAATTAGTTTAGTGGTATTGACCAGAATTTCAGTGCACTTATTTTTATTTTTAATTTTCAGGTTTGGTTCAGCAATCGTCGAGCAAGATGGCGTAAACAAGCTGGAGCCAGTCAACTGGCGGCATTTAACCACCTGTTACCTGGAGGGTTTCCACCAACAGGCATGCCCACTTTACCAACATACCAGCTTCCTGAGTCCACCTATCCTTCAACAACATTACCACAAGGTAAATGAACCAATGTTTTCGTGAAGAACTTGAACCTTTTTTCTATTTATTTAATACTCATTACACAAACTCATCTCATACATGAATGGCAATAAAACGAAGGTTCCCATGATGCATTTCAGAATAATTCTCTGACGTAATTAAACGTGCTGTTCTTCCTAGACGGCTGTGGCACGGTGCATCGGCCCCAGCCGTTGCCCCCCTCCACCATGCATCAGGGCGGGCTCTCGAGCGACAGCAGCTCCGCCTACGGCCTCTCGTCCAACCGCCACAGTTTCTCCAGCTACACCGACACCTTCATGAGCCAGTCAGCGAGCAGTAATCACATGAATCCCGTGAGCAATGGACTATCTCCACAGGTCAGTAAGGGTCACTGGCCACAGTGTTTAAATACTCTTCTCTATAGCCACATGTCAAGGAGTCTTTCAAGTGGAATTACGAGACCTCTCTGAAGATAAAACAGCATATTCTTTGTGCGCTGCCGTGTACGTTTGGTGATTAGATGCGTCTCATGTGTACTGAGCAGACATGTTTTGGAGAAATCATCTTCTAGTGGATGATACCCCCCTTGTGCTCGTGAAGTGTTTATAAGATATTGTGTTCTAATGAATATTCCTTTGTTTTACTCACTCTCCTAATTAAAAGAAAGATTTAGTTGTTTGATTCTAAGAAAATTAGTTTTGAGACAATACAGGATACCCTAAAGAGAAGAAATCCCATATGCAGTCATAGAGCTGCTAGCACTGCGCCTCGTTCAGAAAAGAACGTAATCTCACTAAACTAATGGATCTGTATGTTTAATTGTCTAGAAGTAATTTTCAAGCATTAACAGACATTTTAATAAGTCAGGATGTTTTAATTAACTAGAACGGAGCAAAAAAAAAATAATTGTCTTGTCTTGCTCTGATACATCTTTGAGTATGAATGTAAAATGGAAAGCCAGTAAGGCTTTTGTAGGTGTTAGTCCTTGTGTTTCTGAGCAAAGATTCTTGTTAACGACGTTGTGTAGCATTCTTGAATAATGGAGAGTAACAAATAGGACTCATTGCTCAGGGTTGATTCCTAAAAGCTAAATAAAAGGAAAATGGCTGCTATTGATGCACATCATTGGTAAAGAGTGTATTACAAGCAATTATTCACCATTAGTGGGCAGTTCTGCCCACTATAGTCAAGAAGATCTGACTAACAGGCAGAAAATAAGATTGAAATGGTGTGTAAGGAGTTGAAAATTAAATTCGATACTGCGTTTGTCCAGAATTACCCCCTTGTTCACACGTTTTATGGCCACTTTCCCCCCCTCACCAAACATTTCTCAAAGCAGATTGGAAACTGGTATTACTATTTTTTTCCCAAAGAGAGGAAAGAATTAGGGATTTAATGACAAAAAAGAGATTTTCTCTTGTACTGCGGAGTTGGGGGATAACATAAGCGTTTCTCAGCATGTTTGATTGTTAATCGTAGTGGAGGGGCTTTAAGTGCTAATGCTTTCGCTGCAAACCTGCATAAATAACTGAACATGGTTCGAGCATTTTTATGCAGTTTGTGGGGGGAGTGTTAACAGCCAGAAATAGATCAAATAACAGCTGTATTTTATTTTATTTTATTAAAGCAGCAATTTTTATAGATGCAGCATGTCAACAAAAATTCATATTAATCGAATTATCTATACATTGAAAGAGGATAAAAGCACAATTGTAATTGTTAAAATCATTATTAAAATTATATTTTTCCCCCATGGGTTTTGTATGAATCTCTCACTAAAATGAAGATGGTTCACCCTCCATCCGACCCCTCCTCAGCCCCCTAACCTCCGCACCCCTGTCCAGCCCCTCTCACCCATCTCCACATGTCACATGTGGCTATTCCATCAGGCCCTTATTGTAGGAAAAATTAATGTTCTCTTTGACAGGAGTATCATAGTTCAACCCCAGCATCACACTGTGCCTCAATGTCCATGAAAGGGCCGCCAGTGCCCCACAAGGCAAGGCAACCCCCCCACCCCATTCTTCTCAGCGACAGGGAGTCCACATGGCAGTCCTTACAAGCTTGTTTTTGTACATCACAATTTTCTCCATCATTTGTCTAATCTATTGTCTTTCTTTTACTTATAATTCCCCCTCTAGTCATTTATTTTAACACATTAATTTTGTCTTCATGCAAATCAATGCAAATAATTGAGTGCGTGCAAGTGGTGCAGTTTGTATTATACAGAGAGTGCAGTTTTTCCTAAATAGTAGAGCACTGTGGGATTGCACAGAGAGCTTTTTGTTTGGTTTATTTGCTTGTGAAATCTTATCAACAATTTTAAAAGCTTTATAGCCTAAAGTTGTTGTCATAGTAGTGTAATGGCCTTCTCTCATTTGTCTAGACAAACCCTTCTTTGACACTGAATTTTCACTGCTGCTTTGTGGCACATCTAACTGACGGTTTCAAAGTAATTCTGCTTATTTTATTCCATTTATGAAACATTTGCGTTTACCTCAGTCTCCTTCTGATTTCTTTTATATTTAGTATCCTGACTTCTGAAGTTTGACTATTTCTCAACAGTGGATAGTGAAGAAGAAGTAAAGAAGTAAAAGAAGTAAAAGAAGTAAAACAACATTTCTGTTTTTCCACCATGCTTCAACAGTTTATGCCACTAGTTTATCCCTGTTATTTAATATCTTTTGAGCTCTGATTTTTGGAAATATTTGCTGGTCAAGCTCATGCATATTAACAATATTAATTGTAACTTGACTGGTTACACAATGGCAATAAAATTAATCACATGAAAGAAAAAAAGAATGACCTAACTCAAACGGAAATGTAATATATGACATATATTCACATATAAGGTTATAACATAAAAAAATCACTGTAGTAAAATTTGTATGTACATATGTTAATAATATCTATATATGATGATTTTATGTGGCATTTATGTAGCAACCATATGTCAAAAATATGAATAAAAAAAATTATGAAATATAACATATTACATACATATTTGTGTGGTCTAGAGATATATGTTAATATATGAAATTGTTCCAATTTCTAATACTTTTCATATATGATTTTGCTTTATATGACAATATATTTCATATATGGAAATGTAATATATGTACATATATTACATTTGTAAATGGGAAAATTTGCCATACAGAAACACCTGATCTATAACAAAACTTTATCTATTTTAATTTTAATTTTAATTTTAATTTTAATTTTAGACGATAGCGCTCAACACCTAGAGACACAGCAAAAATGGCAACATTTTATTCATTGTATTTCGATATACATGAAAATCTAGTGCATGCTTGGAATGACCTGGCTTTTAGTTTAGGAAAACGTGAGAAAGATGTGCTTATTTTCAGTTGTGCATTTGTCAAATTGTGTGGATGGACCGCTTTGCAGCTTCTGTCGAGTGGAGAAAACTTGTGGGTTTCAGTAAATGTGCTGTGATGGCCGCGTGCCAGAATGAAATGCAACCCTGCTGGGTTCACAACACCAACAGGTGCACAAGCCTCTCAGTCTTCTCATGTGCCAGCAGAAGCAGAGCGCTTCTCACTGCACCTCTGGAAAACACATTAAACAGCACTGCAGCTTAGTTCGGATGAAAATTATGCAATGCCAGTATTGCCAGACCTAATCTCCATTAAGCCCACTTTTGGACTGGGTCAGAGCTATGGACAGATTTCTATGGCCTTGACTGCATGTCTTTTCTGTGTTTCATCCGCTGCTGGACATTGAGACCAGTCCAAACACTGGACATGTGGCGAAGGAATGAATGCGGTAATAAAGCCGTAGGCTGCTTTACTACTACAGTCACTCCTCCTCCTACAATAGATGCTTTGTGCAGGTGGCTGATTGGGTTTTACAGTGGGAGACGTTCTGCTATGCTTGTCTGATATGTGCAGTGTTTTTGTTGTTAGTTGTTGTAACTGGAGAAGAAAACAACACACACCCGTTTTAATGAACAGGTTTTACTAAAACCAACCATTCAGTATAATCAGTCATGCTTTTTGTTTCGGGCCCCGTAGCAACAACGCCACCCCTCAAGGCACTCGAGTCATCTAGTAAAGCTTGCAGTGCCAGTATTAATGAGCATTACTGCAATTTCACTCTGCAACATTAGTGTCAGGTTGATTGGGCCGTAACGGGTAGTTATTGTGCGTGAGTGCAATATTAACAAAATGAACAAATGATTAAAACTATTTTGTTATTATAGTCATTTATTTTTATTCATTACATATTTACTTTTTTAGAAGACGTTTGTTTACTTTATATTTTTCATTTATATTTTATTATAACAATACATATATATTTATCCTTACATTTTATATTTACTCTTTTCAGAGACTTTTATATTGATTTTCATTTATATATATATATATTTTTTTTATTGTCTTAGGAGACTTTTATATGTATTTCCATTTATGATTATTTGTATTCATTCTCTTAAATTTGTATATTAACACACCAACACACACACACACACACATATTATACATTTATATTTTCTGCATTTTATATTTACTTTTTAAGATGTTTGTTTATTTTCATTTATAAATATTCTGTAATTATTCTCTTGAATGATATTTATTAACATTTATATTTTATAATACATTTGTATTTATTCTTACATTATATATTAACTCTTTACAGGATTTATACTTTATTATATTATATTATATTATATATTAGAATATTTATACTTATTTTCATTTATATTTATTATTTATTCTCTACACTTTCTATATTGAATAACAATATTATTTTTCTTTTAGAACAAAATTTCATTCAAAAGAACTTAAACTGTTAAATGAAACCATTATACATTTATCAGTGTATAAGACACTAACAAAATTTAAATAAATTGTAAAATTATATTTTAAAATATATTTAGGCAATGCTGTAAATTAATATAATTTTATTATTTTTTATTTTAGCATTTAAAACATCAAAATATGATATATATATTAAGTATTTAGACTTAAAAAAAAATCTATACTCTTCCAAACAAATGCATCCACACACTTGTAAGAGAAATGAAAGAAAAATGGCAAATGTATCATTTTGTGTGTGTGTGTGTGCATTTGGAAGATTTGTGTTTTGGAATGAAGGAACTTTGGCTAACATTTGATGTTAGGAAGGGAGAGCGAATAGGCTGGGTTTCAGCACTGGGGGATCAGAGGCAGAGCAGTGCTCACCAGCACTCCCTTTGATCCGTATCCCCAGGCCTCCCTGCCTGAGCCACGCGCAAAACTCAGGCCTCACCAGTGATTCCTGACAACTGTCTGCTAGAGATAAGGGAGGGGGACTCCAACCTCTCTCCTCTCCTCCATTAGCACAGCAGCCACTTTAAACTGGATGAATTATA